TATGCAAATGTTAGGAGTGACTGAAAGAGGTAGTAGAGAAGGATAGAAAATGCCTCTAACAATAGGATCAAAGCTCACCTAAAGACTGGCCAGGACACACCAGTAACACCTCCAGTTCCTCCAACTGCAAATTCATCAGCACTTCCCTTAAAATCTCTCATCACTTTTCCAGTTCTCACATCAAAAATATTTAGCACAACCCTCTGAAAGAAATCTGTATTAGAGAGGACATAGTATGGCCACAATTGGGTATACAAACAACATAAAGCTGAAACTTACGTGGGTGTCACGAGGGTTACTTGGTTCATGGCTGCTGTATGTCACCAGATATCTCTCACCGGGGGAGAAATCAATCAGCTTTACCTGCATTTAAATTCTGTAGATTTAAGTCACAGAAACCTGCATAAGTTTATTTCAGAGAAATAAGCACAAAACTAACCTGAGGATGTGCATAACGCATGAGGCGGTTGAAAGTGGTGGCACCACCCCAAATTGCAGCGCCTTGTCTGTGAACTGTTGCCAAGTAAGTTCCCATAGGGGACCATTGAACAAAACTCTCAGTCCAATACTGCACTCAAGAAGACATCATTAGCAAAGATTAGTAATGGCCCATCTGCATGAAAGAAAGAAATATCCTTTGAAGGATGAAGGTTCTGTACAGAAGCATTTCATTTTTGAAAATATGAGATGCCAAACAGTACAAATAAGAACAACCATGCGTTGACAGCTAAATGAGCAAAACGAGAATACAAGTCTCCTTACAGGACGTTTATAAACAAGCTCAGGCTTCATTTGTCTTGCATCATTCCAGAGGACCTCCGTGTCACCGCCAGACCGAATCACGTACTGATCTCTAGCTTTCTCATCAGTAAGCCACTTTAGAAGCATCTCCTGCCAGCGACACAAACATCTCAGTAATAGTAGATGAATGAAAAACTGACACTAGCATTTAAGACTCCGTGCTGGCTGACGAAAAACACAGAGCTGGTGAAGAGCCTAACCCCTGGAACATAAGGCTTGATCTCTGGCGGAGCCCACTCATCTGGAACTTTCAGGAACTTCTCAATGTCTTCAAACATGTTAACAGCAAATATATGTGACCTATCTAACTTGTATCCATGTGTCTTCTCCTTACTCAGCTCAGCTTCCTAAAGCAGGAAAACATAGCAACATGATGATCATTAGCCAAATGAAATTAGATATGTCAGCTCCTAGGTTGTCTAGACACTCCAACAACAACACACGCAGATCCATTTCTACCTTTTAGTTCATAGTTGGATATAACAATTAAAAAAAAGTGGATAGACAAGTGAACACTGACCAACTTCCTGCACTTAGTAAGCCATGGATCACAACATTTGAACCATATAAGTTCCTCATATCCACATCACACAAGCATGACTTAGAGTATAACAAATCTAGGATGCAGCCAAGACATGTTTATAATCATCATCTAACAAAAGACAGATTATGACACTTCATAATTTCTCAGTGTAGATGACATGGTGCTAGCCTGTGAGCATTTTACTTTTTAGCTGGAATTTCCATTTTTACATCTTTTATCCATTCATAATCACATACCCCTCGTCCCAATTTATGTGATGGCGTTTGACTAGGTACGGTGTCTAAGACGGAAAGGAAGACTTCAGAGACTTGTGGTCTAAAATAAGAGACAAGTATTTGTGTGGTTACAAATCATCTCATTAGGGATAGTGATGGGCATTTTATAATTAAATTGTTACTAAATATAGAAAGATGTCATTCTTTTTTGGACTATCTTAAAAAAGAGTGTCACCTAATATGAGACAGAAGGATTAATATTCTTCTTAGGCTAAGTAAGAGATTTGCACATAGAAAGTACTAATCAAAAGTCGAGACAACATATTCATCACCTATCACAAACATAAAGATGGTAGAAGAATTAATAAATCACATCTCTAAACAATTCAGTTATAAGTCTCAAGCATTCTGTCTATAAAAATGAGATACTCTATGGCTGCTAAAAGAGACAAATTGGAGTACCTGAGGAGTATTATACTCTATAAAGCAGTACCCAAGTGTTTTCTGAGTCTCAGGATCAATAGGCATATAGAGACCACCCTCCTTAATAACACCAAGTTGGCTGTAAATTTTCCGAACTACTCCTTCCAATTTCTCATATTTCTCTTTAGGCACAACTGGAAGATTGTCCACCACCAGTATGTTTCCAAAACCTTGATCCTCCTCCAAGGCGTCCTCCTCCAACAAGTCTTCATCGTCACTGCCCTCGTCACATCCAAAAACAGCACAAATTCAAGACCCATAAAAAGTAATATAAAACATAGCAATTGAGAAACCAAAAATAATTATAGGAAAAATATAAGCGTAAACAAAAGAAACAAGACTAAGCTGAACACATAAGAATCGATATATAAATCGAATCAAATCTTCACAACATAATTTGCAAACTCAATAAAAGAACGGTAAGAGAAACCCAGACATAGCAGTCGATATGAAAACTTAATATATTGAACTGGATATGAATATGATAATAAATCCAACAAATCCAAACACCCAGTAAAAACGCTAAAACTTTCTAATCTTTTCAAAACTATCAACCAAACACATAAATTCAAACTCAAGAAATTAAAAAAACATTAAGACCTCACCTCAATGAAACAAAAAACTACACACTATACAGCAAAGTAGCAGAAGCACATAAAAGTGAAAGCAAAAATCAAGATTCAGACCTGGGTATCCCCAAATCATCACCAGGGGGAAGATGAATAGAGTCCAGATCGATTTGTGTAAGATCCACACCAAGCCTATCAGATATAGCTCTGATTTCTTCCATAGAAACCACTTCCGACATGATTGAATTCTACTTTTATGCTCTTTGCTTAACTTTTTTTCTGTGCTCAATTCGACTATGAGAAGGTGCGAAGATAGCCACTTTGAATTGAAGCTGAAGGAGAAGTTGTGAGTTTAGGCCTTTAGGGATAGAGCGCAATGTGCAGGCACAGGGAGGTAAGTAGGGTTTATAATTCTGCTCCGGGTAAACGGGTTGATTCCGCGGGCACAAATACTATACCCTTTAGGCTTTAACCCTTTAAACTATACCCGTATTCATAATAATAATAATAATAATAAGAAGAAGAAAAATTTATATTTGAAGAAAAACATTATAATAATATCTTATAACCTTATATAAACGTGAATAATAATATATTAAATATACATATACATAAATATAAATTAAATCAGATATGATATTATAATATATTATATGACATCGAACATAATTTTTTTAATAAATATATATTATCATAAAATAGCTGGATACCCTGTGATTTAGATGAGACCACCTACGATAACAAATTTATTTGCCCAAGTTACTATTCTTAGTGCCTAAGTTACTAACCTTGGTGCTCAAGTTGTTATTCTACTAGAACAATTGTAACGTTTTAAATAACTATGTCAATGTGCTGAGAATAATATGAAAAATTAAATCATGAAGGTCTTGTGTTTCTTTTCTTCATCAATGGTAATTTATAAAATTTTAAAAGTATGTTTTATGTCTCGTAAATCAGTACAAAATAGTATTTACACGTTAGTGTGTCACAAAGTCATGCACTTGTTACTTGGAAGGAGTAGAAACTAATGTCTATGTTTTACGGTGACGTGACCAAATCCGTAAGGTCATGATTATTTATTTTTTTTAAAAACCTTTAATTCCTATTGGTTTAATTTTCCCTTGATTTGGTAAGCTTATGAGAAGTACTACTCGAGACAACGAATTTAATCGAATATGATATTATAATATTTTATATTGAATTACGTTGGGTAAATCTTTTTCTCTACTAGAGCTAGAGCGTAATTTTCTTTAACAAGTATATATTAACTATTTAACATTGCTAAACGTTTAAATATATATAATATATCCTTGCCTACCAAAAAAAATATTTAATATTGTGTAAATCTGTTACATTGTTCACATTATAAAAGTTGTGTGCGTGCACCGAGAAAAAATACATATTACTATCAGACTTATGAGGCTGGTATTTTATAATTTTTAGCTTGGATGAAAAAATATATACGTAATAAAATGTGAAAAATGCAAGATTGTACCTATAATAATTGACTTGAAAAATGAGGAAAATATTTCTTAGGTCGATCTTGCGGGATTGGCGTTTGTTCAAATATATAGAATATGTTCTTACAAATAATGTTGGTGTATATACCACAAATTATAATAAATTATAGTTAAAAATAAAATGAACAAAAATAATAAATAAATATTCACACTGAGTTCTTTTAAAGGAGATTCAACCACATTACCAAAGAAACACTTCTAATATAATTTTTCTCTCTTTGGAATAGTGAATAAGTAGGAGACTTTTGAATATTTTTCTTTATTTCATTACACTAACCTCACTACACACTATAATATTTTTCCACACTTTCCATAATTTTTATTATACTTCAGAAAGAAAAAAAGCGTCACTATTTATAGGAGTAAAATTCTTTTTATGGATTAAATAACAAAGTAATGGAATAATAATATTATAGAACATGGATTAACGATGAATAATTAATGGTAGACCATAGCAAAAATAATTATATGAGTTACACAAAAAAAAAAAAAAACACTCTTGTCAATTTATATCAACTCTGTATACACTCAGTATTTTAATTTCAGACATGAACACATGAGTTGCAAAGCATCAACAAGAGTGAAAATATTAAAGAAGAAAATAATTCGTAAAAAAATATAAAGAATGCATGTGATATCATATTAAGGTTTTATTTAAAAAGGAAAATTGAAAATTGAAAAAAAAAATATGTTGACCAAATAATTTTGTTATTATTTTACTTCCATCATTAGAATCCTAACTCAACTATATTGTAACACCTTTTCTTTTCCTTATCGTATGTAGCATAGTTTTACTGTTATATCTCTTTTTTCGTATATATTCATGGTTTTGTTTTGTCTGTCTGCTTTGTAATTCTTCCCGCCAGCCATGGCTACCAACATTTCTGCTTCTGCTTCTTCCACCACCAATCTACTCAACCAACGCCTCTTGTCGTTTCCACCTTCTCAATACAATAAAAACATCCTAACTAAACCATACCAACAACAATGTCTTTTGATCAGTTCTTCCAATAAGAAGAACAGGGCAGCAATGGTTGTTAATTCGTCACGTAAATTAATCAATTTGGATCAACATGATGATTATTTGGACGTCGACGACAAGCCTAAGGAAGAGTGTGGAGTGGTTGGTATCTATGGTGATCCAGAGGCCTCGCGTTTATGTTATTTGGCGCTCCACGCCCTTCAGCACCGTGGTCAGGAAGGTGCTGGTATGGTTACTATTGAAAATAAAGTTGTTAAATCGGTTACAGGTATTGGATTGGTTTCTGATGTGTTCAACGAGTCGAAACTTGATCAACTTCCAGGTGACATGGCTATTGGTCATGTTAGGTATTCTACTGCTGCTGGCTCTTCTTCAATGCTGAAAAATGTTCAGCCTTTTGTTACAAGTTCTAAATTTGGATCTTTTGGTGTTGCACACAACGGTAATTTTGTGAATTATCAATTGCTTCGTGCTGAACTTGAGGGGAAGGGGTCAATTTTCAGTACAACTTCTGATACGGAGGTGGTACTTCATCTTATAGCAAAATCAAAGGCGAGGATTTTTGCTTTGAGGGTCCTTGAGGCTTGCGAGAAGCTACAGGGAGCTTACTCGATGGTGTTTGCGACAGAGGATGGTAAGTTAGTTGCAGTAAGGGATCCGTTTGGGTTTAGGCCATTGGTTATGGGTAGGAGGAAGAATGGTGCTATAGTTTTTGCCTCGGAGACATGTGCTTTGGACTTGGTTGAGGCTACGTACGAAAGGGAGGTTCATCCTGGTGAGATGGTGCTAGTTGATGAAACTAGTAAAGAACCTCAATCAATGTATCTACTGAAGCCTCATCCTCCTGGGCCTAAATCTTGCATCTTTGAGCATATTTACTTTGCCCAGCCTAATTCAATAGTATTTGGGAAGTCAGTGTATGAATCTAGACATGCTTTCGGGGAAATTCTAGCTACAGAGTCCCCTGTGGAGGGCTGTGATGTTGTGATAGCAGTTCCAGATTCAGGTGTTGTAGCAGCACTTGGTTATGCAGCCAAAGCAGGGGTACCATATCAACAAGGCTTAATAAGATCACACTATGTTGGCAGGACATTTATCGAGCCATCTCAGAAGATTAGAGATTTCGGGGTGAAGCTTAAGCTCTCACCAGTTAGAGCAATATTGGAAGGGAAAAAAGTGGTGGTTGTGGATGATTCAATCGTTAGAGGAACGACTTCGTCAAAGATTGTAAGGATGTTGAAGGAGGCAGGGGCAAAAGAGGTCCATATGAGGATTGCAAGTCCTCCAATTATAGCTTCTTGTTACTATGGGATAGACACTCCTAGTACAGAGGAATTGATATCTAACAGGATGAAAGTGGAGGAGATTAGGAAGTTTATCGGGGCAGATTCTTTAGCCTTTCTGCCAACTGATAGCTTTCGTAACTTATTAGGCAGTGATCATACAAACTTTTGTTATGCTTGTTTTTCAGGTAAGTATCCACTCTACCCAAGCGTGGCTATGGAGGAGTCTATAGATGATACAATGAAGTTGACAGTAGCTGCTAATTAAATTTTTTATTTTATAGTAGTAGTATTCTTGAATGATTATTTGCACTTGCAGAAAAGAAAGAAAAATTTCCCAAAGTGTGTGCATATTTTATTTCATTTACAATGTTGTCCAGGCTATATCATTTTTTTTTAAGTACAGACAAATTTCTTTTAACTTTAACAATTCCAAGTTGAGATCAATTTGCACCTAGCATGATGTTCAATCTAATATTCAATTCTCAAGAACGCTCAAGGCAGTAACTCACACGTCACAACAACAAAAGCACGTCAGGAAACAGGACATATTTAGTAAACAATTGCAATCACTATTCACAATTTCACCGACCCTGCCTGAATCTGATAAATATATATTCTTCTTGCACAACAGATGAACCTCAAGCTTCTACAATGAGGAAACAACAGTTCATTTTCCTGTGTTTATGTTATTAGTAGTACAAAATCTCCTAAAGATAGTTGGTCCACGAATACCCAGAAGCTTCTAACACACCATTAACATGTAATGTTCTTATCTCATTTTTATCTAATCTTAAACATAGTCACGTCAAACTCGGGACTAAGTGACTGGCTTGGATGATTAATCAGATCTTGACTCGTCAAAGAAAAAGCATATACATGAGAGGCTTATGACTCTACTCCATATGGGAGAAGGGCAGCAGCCACAATCCTACCTTCTTCGTTTAGAATATTGTAAGTTGATGCAGCATTTCTCTGCAACACAGATGAAATAAGGAATGTAAGCAATATAAAATGGATGAGAGAAAGAAGAAAAAGCTCGGATCAAGGAATATGACAATATGTACAACAAAAAACACGATATATGCGGTTATCTAATAAACAACAGGCTAGCAAAGCAAGCCTTTAGAGTTCAGAGAGCAACTACTCTTTCAAGTGAGTAGTCTGATATCAATCTACCAAAACATGTGTCATTCAGTTATAGGCACAGAACACCTAAGCAGAATATTTTGTGAAGAATCACATGAATAGGAAATAGTATGTTTAAACCAAATTGAAAATTTAGAGAAGAGGAAGAGAAAAGCCACTTCCAAAACATTGGCTAATATCTTGACATGTTTATGGCTACCATAATGCTCATTCGAAATTTACTAACCAATAAAAAACACTAAACAAGTTAAACGTCACTGTTCTGGTTTCCTTTGCTGGTTAATCTAGTTGTGTTTAAACTCCTTTGGTCTGGGTCCAGGAATGTCAAAGAGATCCACCTTACATCTTCCAATTGTAGTTTTGGACAAAAAGTTCCAGAGATGTTGAGTCAATGGTGGGGGTATGAGCAGTAAACAAGAATAAATATTGCTCAGAACTTCTATGGCTAACCATCTCATATATCCACACAATCTGATAACTACTAAATAGTGCATAAAGGATGACATATCCCCTTCCTTTGGCACATCATTTTTCATAATAAACAAAGAACCATATACTTACAGAATCAACTGCTTCCAATTTCATTCCAGTAGAACGAATAAAGGCACGAAGCTCAGGATTTACCGGTTGAATGTACTTCCCACAGCCAAGAAGAAGAATCTCTGCAGTGAAGTTATATTAGAAAGAAAGAGAAGCATGAATACCAAGAGTACTATAAACTTAAGAAGATAATCATTCCTCGACAAAAACAGGAACAGAGTCGATACTCATTAGATTAAATGAAAATCAAATTGGAGTTGGATTTTCTGCATAATTCTTATAGCTGTTGCTTTCGGGATAGCTTGCATGCACTGATTATTCCACTGGATACCAACTACATCTCACCACACAGACACCAGTTATAATTCTGCCCACCAAGAGTTACCAAGGTTTTCACCCACTTCATTAACTGCAATGTCACACCCTTTGGTGAGGACTTTCTCAACATCTTATGCTGAATTTTCCCTCTACACCAAACTCTTCAAAGCTAAGGGTGTTGTTGGACATCCACAATTCTCTTACTAATAAAGGTCAAACAAATACTGAATCCTGTTCGAGTTAATTACGTTTTCCAATTTTGAAATGAAATTCTATTTCAAGTATTGGAGAAGTCAAAAAAACACACACCCTTTATGGCAAGATATTTTGAAAAAGTCTATCTACCCTAACCACCAGGCTTTTTCCCCTAATCAGTTATTGGCAAAGATAAAGCAAATGGAGGGGAATATCAACACAGCACAGCTGCAACCTATGTTGCTCGGACTCTTTCAAAATGTCGACGGGTGCGTGTCAGATCCTCCAAAAATAGAGTATTTTTGAAGGATCCGACACTGGTGCGGCATCATTTTGGAGAGTCCGAGCAACTTCGGCTGCAACTATTCTTTGCTTATACAGAAATTTACCATCATTTTTCAATTAATAGAGGCTTAATACATAGATTACCCCCGAGCTTTAGTGAAATCCCTGTTACACACCCCTTGACCATGGGGAACCTTTTATACACCAAAAGTTTCAAAAAGTGTGCCTAAAAACACACTGTTTTAGTTATGTGGCACTCGTGTGTAATACACATACAAGCAGTGTTTTGGACGGCGAAAGGCGATAAAAGACGACAAGGGTCTGCCTCGCCACAAGGCGGGCGAGCGGCGAGGCGCTTGCCTTTTTGAAATGCGATACCAATTAATACCAAAAAGTTAAAATATTTAATTGCATATGTAAATAATCAGATTCTCAATAGCAATAACATATTAGCAAATATTTCAATTCAAAACTGAAAATAGATGGTACATACTAAAAGTCTAGAACTTGAATGAGAAAAAAACAGAACAAAAGTCAAAACAGAGGTAGAAGTGACTCTAAAGTATGAAGAAGAAGAAGAAGAAGGAAAAAGAAACCGAGGAAGATGAAATCTGAAGAAGAAATATGTATTGGTTGGACTATGGAGTAGCCGGAGGAGTCTAGTCGAAAACCCTAAAAGTACCTTATAACTTTTAAAACCCTAAATTGGTTGCATTTTTTTTAAGATAATACAAAAGGCGACACCTTTCCCGCCTTTCTTGCCTCTTGCCTTTTGTCTCCATGGCGTCGCCTTTTGGAGATTGCCTCGCCACAAAGCTAAAAGGCGATGAAGGGTCGCCTTGCCTCGCCTCTTGCCATTGGCGATGAGGCGATCACCTTTCACAACACTGCATACAAGAGGCGAGCGAATGCAAAAAATAATTATATCAGATGCTTTATATGAATGCCACGTGTCTAACTTTAATTTTTTCCCCTTTTTTCATTTCACACAAAAGAACAGATAAAGCAAAAATAGCCCACAACCCTTCCCCTCACGTTTTCTCCCCCACTTCCCTCCCCATCTTCTTCCCCAACTCTCTCCCCCCTTTTTTTCGTCTTCCCCCACCCCTGCAACTGATCCCTCCTCTTTTGTGTCTTTTAAAAATTCGTTATTGCTGTTCAAAATCAGTGGAACTTTTCCCTTTTTGTCTCTTTTTGGGCTCAATATGATTAAGATATGGGAAAAGTTAATGACAAAAAACAAGGGATGGTCGGAGATGGAATATTAGGCGAAACTCCGGCTGCTGAGTTGGTTAAGTCCTGTTAGAATAGGAATAGGTTTATACATTCCTATTAGAATAGGAATAGGTTTACACAATCCTCTTAGAATATGAATATATTTATACAATCCTATTTAGAATAGGAATAGGAATACAAATAGGAATAGGAATAGTAAATAGTATCCTACTTGATAAATGATTGTATTTTAGTGTCTATAAATAGGATCTCAATGTAATAATGTAGACACAACAACACAATTCAATAATATTCTTTTCCTATATTTCTCACATGGTATCAGAGCCTCTACGATCTTGGTAAACAATCAAAGAGCTTCC